GCAAAACTACAGTCAAGCTAATCACAAATGGAAAGTTGGAAACCATCATGGGTTGGACTATCTTATTCTAATCCATTTTGGCTCAGAACCTACACATATGATAGAAACCATCATTTAGCACACATGCAATTCTATATCTAACTATAAAATTTAATGCTTTAGGTATCCTAAACCTTCAATTAAAAGAACACCACACTACTTTAAGTACTACCGTAATGTTGAATTGAAAATTTTCAACTCTCCAACAATTTTACAGAGAATAGACAAACCCACCCAAAGATTAAATATGCTTCGACGCGGTGCATACACATCTACTCATCCTCTTAGCATTTGTATCCAAAACATCCTCTAAGACAATTTTGGAGAGTATAGTACAGTCTCAAAAAAAAGTTTGCTATTGGTAGAAATGTGCATCATAAGATTCATAATGGTGAACTTTTGATGCATGGCTCCATATATAAAAAGATCATAAATTCTGCATAGTTGGAAAAAGAGTCCATAATGAATCAAGTCCTAATGGAGGTGTATCCCAATGTTTTAAAACCACATTTCCTTTTTCAACAATCACTGGAACTTTTCTTTATTTGTACGTTTTCATTGATATTTGATAAAATTAAACATACTTGACACCTTTTATTTTGAAGAATTTTTCATGTAGTTTTTAAATATGTAAATTTTATTTTTTATTTTTATACCAATATTTAAATAAAATGAATTGAAAAAATTTGATATTTTACTTCGTTTTGCGAAATGTGACAAACAATTTGGGACGGAGGGAGTAAAATTCAGCTCTAACCGCATCAATTCAGCTCTAATTAGACAAAATAGGGCCTGCACAATTCGGACAATCAGGCAATAACAGGGTGATGAGGAAACGTTGCAGAGAGGTGGAGTGTGACAGACGCTGATAGAAGGATGTAGGATGACCGGAGAATGCTAGTGAAGTCAGGGATGCTGCCTCGTGGATGGAAGAAGATGGTCGTATATATAGACAACAATTGAGACAACAGTTGATATGAAGAAAATACAAAAAAAAAACAACCTATTAGCATTTGAGACATCAATTGATATACACAGTGTATGGGAAGTTCCTACAATACATGTCTTGAAAGAAAGAAGTATTTATAAGTAATAGTTCTATACTTAAAAAAAGTAATAGTTCTAATATTTAGCCCACACATAAAGCTTCTTTATCAAAAGACATGAATCATTACATGCATTCTCAAAGGCATATTCAATATTTAACCTACATTTGAAGTTTTGCATATGTCCCACATCTGCTTAAGGAATTAATTGCCAGAATAATTTAAAGCAAAGTATTAAAGTGAATTTGAAAACAATATAGCTATCTTATTTTAAAGGCACGACTTGGAGGCTTACAATGAAGGAAATGAGTCTATTCTAATTGTCATGTACAAATTAACAGGGTTACAATAGTTCCTACTTACTACCTTCTGATTTCGTATTTTATCTTGGTTAATTAGTTTTTTTACTTAACACCATCAACATTCATATCCAAAATGTGAGGGATAAATGACTAAGTGACAAAGCAAACCATTTTTATAAGGAGCAATGGAATATAGTACAAAATATGCAAGTTGGAAAGCATATAAGATGCCATGATCTACAATAAAACCCATAAGGAAGGAGGAAAAAATAGAAGAAAAATATGTGGGACTTCCGGCTGACCAACAAAGAAAGTAGTTTATACAAAAAAAAGTGCCTCACTTCCTCCATGAAAGGCACTTGAATTACCTACAATTCAGCTGTTTAAGCATAAGGATGAAATTTATCTGACAAAAAGGGATATTTCTAAGGTTTTTTCTCTTCTCAAACATAATTTTATCTCTTCTAATTCATAGCTAATATTTTTAGAGCTTATATGTGTAAATGAGACAGAGCATACCTTGTGGAGTTTGTAAGGGATGAAGTGAACTTTTTGTGTCGCTTATGTGGCGCTTTTACGGTGTGAAGGCAAAAGCACACTTTTTCTATAACATTATATTGGTAGTAATCTCATCACATCCAGGAGTTCAATACACAAATTCAAATTCTACCAAAAAGTCTCATTGAAATATGCATACAACAGGGAACTTGCCTTGAATATAGATCCATGTGAACTAAATAGTTTAATATTTACCTCATTGTGAAAATAGAGCATACCTCTACGAAGATTAATACTACGTTTAAAAGTACTGCTAAGAAAAGTTAGAAAGCTGATAATGGTACTTAACAAAAGAAACAAATATAATACTTTAAAATTACCTAGTAATTTCCATTGCCAAATTGATCGATGTCAATGGATTGAGTTCAGCCTTACCCTTCAGGTACTCATGAAGAACACCCTATAACAACGTGTAAAAAAAGTCATTATCCGAAGAAAATCCAGTCATAGTGGGAAATAGAAAATATTTTACTCCAGCAAGAACCAAAAGATGCAAACCACGTACCCCCCTTCAATTTTACCTTATGTCAGAAATCCATAGTTAGACGCAAACTAAAATGAGAAGGTTATGGAGATAATTGTTATTTAAGGGTTGCATTTGTTAGATTTAATCGTATTGTTTAATTCCTGGCCATAAGTTAGTTAGTTTAGATTTAAATTTTAAAAATAAAAGGGACAGTTTTTGGGTAGTTATTTCTGGAATTTATAGGTAGTTATTTCTAGAAGTTGTATTAGTTAGTAATAGATGTGTTGATTAGTACCAATAGTTGTGTTGGTTGATGTCTATAAATACTCATGTTCCTCTATGTAGTTCACAATAAGAAAAATCAGAACTTTATTCTGCATTTGATTTGTTCTTCCTATTATTTTTTCTAACAGCATTCACATATAAGAGAAAGATATATGAAGAAAATATCTGATCGATGAAGGCTCCTGAGTAGGTCCCAATTCCCGAAAAATGAACGGATGGTCATGAGGAAAATTTTGATGAAAACACTTGTTCAAATTTAGAAAAGAGCACACCATAGGAGTAAATTTAACAAACACTTTGTGTGCATGCTCAAATATTACTATTTTCAGAATCAAATTAATGAAGGAAAAACTGTAAAAATATGAAGATGGAATAAGTAAGAAATTTACATTCAAATTGCTCGTAAAGGGCTGGGTTGTGGCCGCCAAATCTAATGTTAATAAGCTTACCGAAGAACATATAACCAAGGAAGAGAATGAGGAAGATAAATTGAGGGTGTAAGAGGTTGTTGAACGGAATAATATGGTGAGAGATCAGTAACACAATCCATATGTAGTCTGGAAGAAGAAGAAATGGAATTGATCTATTGAAGCGTTAAACAAAACTATAAAATCCCATAATAATTACTCCATAAAAGTGTCATTACAATAAAACTTTTTCTCCAAATTCAAGCCTATATCAAACAAATAGTAAAAAGAAAGTATCAAAAACGTCAACATTTGCTATTAAAAAAGTTTCAAAACCCTCAACAGTTGCTATATATAAGGCTTTCGGCTTTGGCCCCGCTCTCTAGACAGTCTATCCAACACATACTCATGTAAAGAAGAACAAATATTGGTGTCATTCTCAGTGAACATGAAACTTCCATAACATTCAAACAAATACTAGTGTCATTCTCACTGAACGTGAAACCTCTAGAACGTTGAGAGCATACCAATTGATGACTTCCCATTTAAGGAATTTCCTTTTTTTTTATTTCATCAGTATTATGATCAATTTCATCGATTACACTTTCAATCCAGCCTTCTCAAACCCGAAACCCGTTTCTGAATCAGGTTTCTCCAGTTGGTCTTCTATTTTATATCCCAATTCAAATCACAACCGCAACAGATTCTCATTGGATGGATTTTCCCAAAAATTTTTAATTAGATTATGTTATTATTATACTTAGATAATCAAAACACATATAGCACCGAAAGGTTCATGAAAACAGTAACAAAGAGCAACGAATTGAAAATCATAATTAAATAATTAAATTTAATTAAGAAAAACAATACTAACCTGCGACCATTCCACTTTCTAATGTTGAGTTGAGGCTGGCAAAGGACTCTGTACTCCTGATGAGTCATGAAGGTGTTTCCAATGGAGAAAAATATAGCAAAGCAGTAGGCTAATATGAATACCTCTGCATCCATTCTTGGATAAAATTAAGATTTGAATCTTGATGATTTGCTAGGACTGATTAGGAATTGAAACTAATAAATTCAGTCAATAACCTGGACGCAGAAAAAGATTGAGGGCAGTGGTTCTGTCAAAAGAAGCCGGTAGTTCGGTCTTCCTCTCCAATCGTCTGAATTCTTCCTAGGGTTTTTTTGGAGTTCCTGCTGCTGCTTCGAAGAGACTCTTCAGCGTTTCACCTCCCTGCCATTTCAGTTTTTCGCTCTCTGCTTCGTAGGGGTTGAGCCTTTCCCCAACATCTCATTATTGATTCAAATATCAACATGGCAGGATGACTAAGCAAAACTGATCTAGTTGTCAGCACACATGGATGGACAAATGTCGCAACATCAATTAAACCGCTCTACTTTATATATATACTAGTTTCACACGAGCTCGTGTAACATCTAACATTTGTAATTCTATAATAAAGTTATATTTCATCCGTCCTATAAAAAATTTTACTTTTTTTGTCCATCCTTAAAAATACTTTATTTTTAAAGAATTGAATCTGTGACTAAGAAAATAACTCCTATTAACTACTCCCTCCGTCCAAAAAAGAACTTCCCGGTTTGACCCAGCACGCAAATTTATGTGTGATAAAAATTGTATTGACTTTCCCCTTATACCCCTCAACCTATTTGCCCTCTCCACCGTCATAAGCCATCTACCGGTGTTGCCAACGCCGGCGGCGGTTCACCCACCCCCACCGTCACAGACCTTACGCCGTCATAGATCTATTCCAGGTCTTCTCATTGAAGACAGTCATTGAACACAACCCGCAAGCCCTCCTCGCAGATCTGTTCTGGGACTTCTCGTTGAAG